CATTATATAATACTTACTCATACAGGGAGTTACTATAAGCAGTCTGGATATAAACTTCATTATATAATACTTACTCATACAGGGAGTTACTGTAAGCAGTCTAAATATAAACTCCATTATATAATACTTACTCATACAGGGAGTTACTATAAGCAGCCTGGATATAAAAACTTGTACGATTCCTTTGACAGCAGCATACTATAAACAATGGAATGTAAGTAAAAAGTTAACAAATTAATCAAGCACTTTATAAACCTGTTCTCTGTTTAACTTGCACATTATCTAGAATATCGACAATATGTATTGTTACACTTGCGATGTCATTGTTTAGTTTAACCAGAATCCCTAATGTAGATATAGAGAATATGGAGAATCTACATTTGGGTTTAGAATATTCAGAACCATAGCACCATAGCAAGCCCTTGTAGCGGAACTGGACTGGGTCGATCGTCGGTGACCAGGTAGCTTAATTGGTAGAATGTCTGCCTAAAATTCGGAGGGTCTCATGTTACACCCTGGTTCTGACCCTAATTCTACATCCCAGGGTAGAATGTCTATATCCCAAATACCTACATATACTAGACCCTGTTAATGTTGAGATCCTTTTTAACCCACACAGCAAGTGATGTGTAGCTATTTAAAATCATTACAATGAAGACAAGAAATGGAAAGTTAATAGTTGTAATACCTCCAGGCTTTTTTTTTTTTTTTTTGCCTTTTACCGACTCAGCCTCAATGAACAAAGTTTAAAATGTTAAGAAAATCTTCATATCATATCTCTATTTCTTTCAATTATTATTGCAATTATGTACTTGTGTATATCCGTTCAATAAAAACGTCTGCAACACAATGTAAGAAATAATTCTTTTTGGAACACGATAAATGTTACTGGGTAGGTAGATCAAAGGTAAACAATCAAAATTTGTCTCCAGACATTTCTGAAATATATTTTTCGAAATTTAGCTAGTGTATAGTGTACATTCTCACCTTGGATTTTCCTACTTCCTTATTATTTTCATCATAAACTGTAACACCTTCAATGATTTCACTAAAAAATAGACACAAAATGATATTAGTTGATATCAGCCATTTCTAATTTTCCATGTAGCATTTATATTTTTTGCGTCTACAGTGTTGTATATACATTGATTATATGATAATTTTGTTTATGATGTTTTTGCTTAAAGTAATTAAGGATTAACAGCCAATCAAAAGCGACGTTAAAAACAGTGACATCATTTTTTTACGTTATGGACTGATAACTTGAATATATTTTTTATGTTATGGAGCTATAACACAAAAAAACGGAGTGTATTCTCATTTTGCGGTTTATTTAGAGCACACTCCATTTTTTTGTGTTATATCTCCATAACAAGAGAAATATAGTCAAATCAATCCTTATAATTTAATCTACTTTACACAATCCCTGTGGAAATCCACTTTTATTGATGGGCTTGTTCTCTTAGAAATTGTTACGCCACTGTATCAGCCAATCAAAAGCGACGTTACAAACAGCGACGTCCTTTTTACGTTATGGACTGATAACATAAATTTTAAAGCTAATGAAAATGCTTGTTACAAGCAAGATTAAATTATTTTATTTTAACGTAATTTAGAACTAATTTTTTTATTTTCAATCTAAGTTTAAGAAAGTGACAAGGACCTCGGAAGCATCCACTTTTGAAGAAACTACAATGTAACCTTCACTGTAATCCCTCCAATGTCAATGAATTTTATTTTAAGAACCAGTAGTGAAGAAATTATGTGAAAAATTACAAAAAAAGTAATATAAACTTAACCTTTGACTGACAATCTTGGCCTTGAAGTGAGGGTTCTGGGCCTGTGTTCATGAAACTGTTCAACGATTTTGTACTCATGCAAAGTGTTTAGTAACTCGCTTAAATAATTTGATATTATTAAATTCACAAGTCAAGTTTAAACTTTGAAAATGGTATTTGACTTTCAGTCATTCCATAATTCTTCTATATCACTGACAAAATGTGATTTTTTTAGTAAATTGACGACAGAACTTGGGCTTGAGCATAGAATATAAGTTTGAGCATGGATATATGAGCCCTGGAAACATGTAAGATTGCACGCTACTTAATGCTGTTATACCTACATATGCAGTTTCATTAAAATATTTTCACCTTTTCCAAAACTATCTGATGTGAACTTGTTACCAACAATGTCTGATCTTGAAAATGGAGTGAGGGCTGTGAAACTTGTCCTGGGCTCACCACAAAGGGGAGACAACTCTACAATGAAATTCCTTACTCTATAAGTCTTGTTAGCTTGTTTAAAACGAGTCTTACTTCTGTCTCATCAACGGAATGTTGACAGCATTAGCAGCAGCCACAGCAGCAAAGGGAACAAACCTCTGTAGCAGGGCAGACGCACTCTGAACAAATAAAAAAAGGACTTTTTTAAATATATATCCTGTTGCGACCAAAATATTTTACAATCAAAAACAAAATTCATCGAAGATACTTATGGTAGTTCTGACTTCAAATTAATCTACAGTATTCTATGACTAACAAAAGATAAACATGAAAAGAAATTTTAAAGTCTTTATCAGACAGTTCAAGTTATTCACACCAGTTCAGCTGATTATGTTTGATAAAATACATCTCTTCTTTCAATAACTGCCTTTGCAAATATCCATGAAAAATTGTAGGATTTGCTAAAAATAAATTATAAGTATGAAGATTGTGATGGTACAACTCACTTTGGCCAGGATAGCTTTCAGTCCTAGTGCTGTCACTAATGCACTCGTAGTAGCTGTCACGTAGGCAAACATGATTTTTCTACAACAAATTGAGAGTTAAAACACTTATACATGTACTTGTTTCAGGTGTATTACTTATCCCTGGACAGATATTAGTCTAGAACAAAACACTGTGATATGTTTCGGCTACAGAAAGCTCCATTAACATACCAGTACAAATACTAAAATAATCAAGGCCACAATTTCAGAAAAAAAATCCATAAAAAACTCTACAATTTTCAAATAAATTATTTGGATAGCTAAACTTTTCAAGTGAAATTTACCAATATTACAAGTGTACTAGGTAAAAAAGTCTTTGTTTGGCATTCTGTTTACTAGACTATGTATCACCGATGTAATTTAAAAAGTAGATCAACAATATTAAAACCAAGGCAGTGTTGACATAATTATGATGCAACATAAAACAGAAGTTTGTGCATTTTACAATTGTATAATCTAATGGAATATCTGGTATTTCTCATTTGCCAAAATATTGGTATGTTCTATCCCTTTTAACATACCCTTGTATATATCTGAAAAAATCACACAATTTAAGGGTCGACATAAAACCGTAAATATAACCAATAAACAAGAGGCCCAGAGGGCCTGTATCGCTCACCTGGATACCAAAGCAATCATGGCAAAATATTCTCCAAATGAGATCAAGGGAATATGCCAGACCCCAAGGCCAATCCTTGTAGCATATCTGTATTAGATTCTTCATGCCCAGCAATTTTATGTATGGTTATGGGGTGGGGATCTCAACTGTTTCCAAGCTTTGACTCAGAAACTAGGTCCCTAGGGTTGTGGCCAGACCCCAGGATCAATTCTAATATCATGACTGCATT